CCTCATCTTCCTATTCCTTTCGTCATCTTCTATTTCTTCTTCTCCTCCTCCTCCTCCTCGTCTTCTTCTTGTCCTCGCCATCTTCTTCTAATCCCTATCTTCTTCTCCCTCTCCTCCTCGTCACCCTCCCCGTCATGTCCGTCCTTGTCGCGCGGCTGCCACGTCAGCACGAGCGATCTTTTTTTTTTTTTCCATATTCTTTCTTCTTCTTCTTCTTCTTCTTCTTCTTCTTCTTCTTCTTCTTCTTCTTCTTCTTCTTCTCCTTCTCCTCTTCGTTATCTTCCTTATCTCCTCCTCGTCGTCGTCTTCTCCTCCTCCTTTCATCATCATCATCATCTTCTTCTTCTTCTTCTTCTTCTCCTCCTCCTCCTCCTCGTCTTCTTCTTCTTCTTCTCGCCATCTTCTTCTTCTCCTCATCTTCCTCCTCCTTTCGTCATCTTCTATTTCTTCTTCTTCTCCTCCTCTTCTTCTGCTCCTCCTCCTCCTCGTGTTCTTCTTGTCCTTGCCATCTTCCCCTAATCCCCATCTTCTTCTCCCTCTCCTCCTCGTCACCCTCCCCGTTATGTCCGTCCTCGTCACCCTCCCCATCATGTCCGTCCTCGTCACCCTCCTCGTAATGTCTTTCGTCATCTTCTTTTTCTTCTTCTCCTCCTCCTCCTCCTCCTCCTTTTCTTCTCGTCATCCTCCTCCTCTTCTTCTTCTTCTTCTCGCCATCTTCTTCTTCCTCTCCTCTTCTTGTTCTTGTACTTCTTCTTCTTTTCTCCTCGCCCTCCATCTCCTCTTCTTCTCATTCATCTGTCCTCGTCCTTATCCCTTATTGCACTCCTTCATGATTCTTCATCTTCTTCCCTCGTCCTCCTCATCCTCCATCTCTTCTTCTTGTTCTTCCCCTTCCTCCTGCCAGCGTCCTCCATGTGTTTTTTTTTTTTTTTTTTTACATATTTTCGTCTCTCACACCCGTGAACCGCGTTGTGCATGCGCAGGACCGCAGTTGCCACGCCTGCCGGAGGCTGGATCCCTGCCACGTGAGATGCTGCCACGTCAGCAGGTGACACAGCGACCTCCACGTCAGCAGTCGCCACGTCATCAAACAGCCCCAGCAGTTGCCACGTCAGCGACCTCCACGTCAGCAGCCGCCACATCAGCGGCTGCCACGTCAGCAGGTGACACAGCAGCAGGTGACACAGCAGCAGGTGACACCGCAGGTGACACAGCAGCTGCCACGTCAGCGGCCGCCACGTCAGCAGCTGCCAAGTGAGAAGTGGGGGGAGTCAGCACTTCCCACGCTAGCAGCCCCACGGTCACGCCCCCCACATCGCCGCCCACCGCGTTTGCTGTCTGGTGACATGTCGGACGAGGGGCAGCAGGAGCCGTTCGAGGAGGACATGACCTGCCCAAGGGACCACGTGGTGTGGACTTGGGTGACTCCTGGGAAGATTCTGTCGGGCAATTCTCGCTGGTCGAGAAGGCTGCGCTGCAAGATCTGCAACAAGGAGTACAAAGGGAACCGGAAGCATGCGTGGGAGAACTTCAGGTGGCCCGCACACGCAGACCAGGGAGGCAGATGGGCATCAAGAGGTTCACGAAGAACCCAAGGCAGGAGGAGATTGATAACTCCTGCTGCGAGTTCTTCGTGGAGAACGCCATCCCGTTCAACGCCGCCAAGAGCAGGAGCTTCAAGAAGTTCACGCTGGCGTGTTACGGACCACAACCTGCAGCGAGCCACCCTCTTGTGCCTACTGGGTACAACCCTCTCAGGTATTGGTTGTTGGATCGCCTCAACAACAGGTTGCAGGAGGAAGAGCAGGCGATCCGTGACGACTTGCAGGTCACAGGCTGCACGTTCATAACCGATGGGACCACAGACATTTGTGGTCGATCGCTTATGAACTACATCCTCGCATGCCGGTCGAAGCCTATTTTCATCAAGTGCAAGGATGTTAGCGAGGGGGACAAGGACTCCGCAACCGTCGTTGCTGGATGAAAGTCGTTCTTTAGGGAGTGGGGGGTGGAGAAGATCACGGTTGTCTGCACGGACTCTTTTGCGGGCAACACGAGTATTGCGAGGATGCTAAGGGAGGACCCTGAGTTCAGCCAGATATACTGGATCCCTTGCACCGCTCACTATATGGACCTCCTCATGCACGACCTTTGCAAGAAGGAGTGGGCGGCCGAGATCATCAGCAAGGCGAACAGAGTGGTCAACTTCTTCCGGGCTCACAGGTGGCCCAGATCAACGCTGAGAACGACACTTGTGACGTTCCCGGACTTGAAATGCAGCTGCCTCCTCCGACCGGCGGCGACGAGGTTTGGGACGCACTACGTGATGCTGCAGCGGCTGGAGGTCTGTGAAAAGGCCATTAGACGGATTGTCACCGGGCAGGAGTGGGAGGCGCAACTGTGTCGTGGGGACATCAGGGGTAAGGCATCGTTCGTGGAGGAGGCAGTTCTTGACAGGGCCTTCTGGGCTGACGTCAAGAAGCTGACTACAGTCACGAAGGGGCCCTATAACGTGTTGCGCGAGGTGGACAAAGATGTCCACTGCTTGTCGCGCATTTACGATATGGTCTGTCGACTGCCCGACTTTGTCCGATCAGCCCCCCTTACCGCAGAGCAGCGAGATGACATGCTCAGGGACGTCGGGAACAGGACAGACATGCTGCTCAGCCCCATCCATGCTGTTGCTCGCCTGTTGGATCCTCAGTTGAGGGACATTACTGTATTCAGTGATGTCAACCTCATGGCACAATTTTAGAGTGTGGTCGAGAGGCTCATTGGAAAGAATGGAAGCACCAGATTCGACGAATGCATGGACCAACTTTATGACTTCCAGTTCGGGAGAGGAGTCTTCGGCACCCCACAGGCGAAGAAACGAGTTGCGAAGGACAATGCAGTTTTGTGGTGGGAGGCGCACAGGGCGGGGCATCCGGAGATCCGCGAGCTGGCGATTAGGGTCCTTTCGATCTGGACGACTTCCTCTCCTGCTGAGAGGAACTGGAGCACTTGGGCTCTGGTGCAGACGAAGTGGAGGAACAAGTTGCACCACCAGCGCACCAACAAATTGGTGTCCTCACACTGGAGCTTGAGGCTCAAGAGCAAGGGGGATGAGGGGCCCATGATAGCAGGAGGGTGGTTGGGGCTCTTAGCTGACTGGGAGGACGAGGACCTGGGGGGTGATTTGGCGAATGTCGTCGAGGCCGTTGATGACTACGAGCATGCTGTTGGGGGCGCCAATTCTGCGGTGGGCAGCACTACTGCTCGCCACGATGTAGCTTGGCCATCGGCATCGAGGTCCATGCAGAGATCAGCGCATGCGGAGGAGGTCGAGGAGGAGGAGGAGGAGGAGGAGGAGGAGGAGGACGAGGAGGAGGATGACATTCCTGGCGAGGAGTGGGTGGATGAGAGGTCGGACTCCAACAAGTCTTGGACGAGGAGAGACGACGCCCCGTGTGTTGGAGGCACACGATCTGGACTGCGATCCCGGACTCAACCGTGTGGGGAGGAGCAGCTGGTGCAGGAGCAGCTGGTGCAGGAGCACCAGGTGGAGGAGCACGAGGAGAACGAGCAAGGGGAGGAGCAGGGGGGGGAGGAGCAGGGGGGG